AGGAAAAAAAATACAACAAAATTCTGTTTTGATTTCGTGTTTCCTGTCTTGATACAATTTTTCAAACACTTATGTGATTTTTATTTAAAATAGTAAAAAGAAATTAAATTTTTAATTACAATACTTGATTCTCAATTTTGTATTTAAAACTGTCTAATTGAAGAATAATACTCACGTCAAAATCAATGTAAGGACCTAGGCGAATATTTTCCCGGCTACTTCCGCATGAACTACTATCGTCTCTGAAAAACACTCCATCATTATCATGTCCCGTCAATCGCTTTTGGTTATCAAACTGTTTTCTCATACCAGTTCTTTTTAAATTTATAATCAAAAGTTAAAGCGCTCTGCTCTCTTCTTTTGTTGATGTTATTGGAAACTCCGGAATAATACTCAGTTAATAGTTGAAAATTTGTATTTTTACCTAAATTTGCATTTACATCGTAAAACAAGGTTTACTTGGAAAGATAAACACGTGTTGGTGATTTATTTTTGCCCTAAAAAGCCTGAAAATTTACACTCTAAGCTTTGTTTATCACTTCATCTTACTCCGTAATAGTTCCTGAAATACCTAGTATTTTGCTTTTTGTGCGCAAGCGCGAATATGAGTTCCCCCGAAAATGGGGGGTGTGAAGGGGTGTTACATGTTGAATTCTAGACTGACCTGCCATCTACAGGGCGATTTATAATTAAACTTCAGGAAAGAGATCGAATTTGATGACGTCACGTAGGTATTTGGAGAAAACGTTGGGTCCCGTTTCATATTGATTTTCGTTACTTTTTTCTTTTTCTTTGATGCTTTTTATTTTGGATTGTCGTGATTTTGACTGAAATAAATTGACACAACGGAAGCCGGAAATTATATCACGAAAGTTGAGTTCCATTTTGACGAAATGATTGCCATGATTGTTAAATTGACTTTCATTATTCAACATTACCCGATGATTCGTAAAGTTGTTATTAATCTTATTTTCAAACCAATGACAATACTTTTAAAGTACCTGGACACAAGATATAGGCTTAATTGTTTTAAATAAATAATCAATTTCATTTGTAAGCTTTTACTTGCGGAAGTTTTACAGGATACACGCGCTTTATGATATAGACTTGAGTTTTTATTGAATGAACAAGTTTTTAAACTTTTCATTACATAAATCAGACGTACGTAATTGAAAATTTATTAAATAAAAAGTGTTTCTAAAAATAATTTAATTTAAGTAATAGTATTGCTTTAAACTGTCAAAATCTGTTAAGAACACGCCTGCTTGTGGATGAAAAGTAAAGTAATCCTTTAATTTTATAATTTATTACATTTAATTTGTATCGATAAATTTTCTGTTTTAATACTTTATAATAAATATATAAAAACCGTAGATTATTGATTTGGAATATATTATAATTCCAAAGTAAAACTTGTAATAAAAATATAATACGTTTCTTTAAGCGAATTGATGTATTTTGTTCGATGATTTTCACTAAATTATAAGCGCGATGGAATTAAAAATGAATTTCAATAAGGAAACATACAATTATAAAATGTAACAACAAAAAAAACTATCAAAACTTCCTGTATGATAAACAACGTTCCACACTGTAAAAAATCCCTGACAAAATAATGGTAAAAAGTACCAGTACTTAATACCATGAAATCTATTTTCACTGTAAAAGTTCACGGTGAAAAAAAACTTATACTTCGTAATTTTTATTGTCAGTCAGTTTTACTGCCATTTGATCAGGAATTTTTTTAACAGCGCATAAAGATATAAAAGTAGTGGAAATGCGTGTTCTTGATAGGAGATGAAATTAGTTTAACCGTTCTGTAAAACTGTTTTCTTACAACCTGGCTCTCTCGGCGGAAAAGAAAACAAATACACCTCTCAGATGAGATACAAATAGATTATTGACGTCTTTTAGAAGCACTTTGAAAAGACCTCACTGAAGCTTTCTAAACATTACTGTATCTTTCATATTTAATTACGTAATTTGATTGTATACTTATATGTGATCATTTTTAAATAGAATTTGCAAGAGTTTCTGATATTTAATTTAACGTTCATTAGAGTGAAAGAAAGCTAAAAAAATCCCATGGGCCTGACAAATTTTGACGAAAATGAAACAAACGTCAATATTTCAATACATTTATGAACATACTACATAATATTTTTAAAGGGAATAAGAAAGTATGAGAATTCTTAAATCTCAGATATTTAAACATAAAACCCTTGACGCAAAATTTTTATTTAAACCTATTTTTCATTCCTTTTTCATGATTGTATACTAATTTAGGTCAAAATAAATTAAAAATACTATAGATAGCATTTTAATAATTTATGGGTAATCAATACAGCATGAAATTTCGGTATCTTTTCCTTCATTAAAGGTGAAATCTTCCAAAGAATATTTTTTTTCAAAATTTGCACTTATTTGTAGTCATCTAGATCTAAGAGAAACAGTAATTCATTTTTGAAACTGAATGAAAAAAAGTTTCACTCTGATTTTTGGATTTTATATTTTAGTACAAATATAATTCCGATAAACTTGCAGATTTTTCTAGAAACTATATATTTTTTATAATTAAAAAATAAAAAAATATTTTTTTTTGTAATTAGAGCCGCAGAAGAAAAAAATATTTGAAAGGGAAACCATTTTCCCATCTGCGTCAAATAACTAAAATCTTAAAAAAGAAAAAATTCCACAAATGAAAATATAAATACTTATTTATATTTGCGAGATATTAGGATATTAGAGTAAATTTTAAAAGTAATATTGTTTTCCTTTTAAATTTATTTTGGCATGGTTGACTTATTTATAATACGATTAGTTTAAACTCATATTTTTAACAGAAAAATTTTTCGAAATTCTAATGTTAATATTTTTAGGGTAATAAATTTGGATAAGGAATTTATGTACTAGTATTAGGTGAGAAAAAGTATTACTTATATGGAACACATAAGTAAGTATATTAAAATGAATTTAGAAATCGTGAAGCAAATAAAAACTTTTAGATGTTTGCAAATTATTAAATATTTAAATTTGGTTAAAAAATAGAAAGAATAACTAAATATCTATTTTAATGTTTTCTTTTTAGTTAAATATTAAAATCAAACTCGCATGGTTCTTGTAGTTGCTTTCTCTCTCAGATTTATTTGAAAACTTTGATCTTTTTTAAATGAGATGAATTTATTTTTCTTAATTCTTTTTTTTTAAATTGGAAACATATATTTACACAGTACACAGATTTGTAGAAATCAAATTTCAAAATAAATCTAGTTTGAAAACATTCATATATGTTAATACATAAATAGTACATCAACTATGTCTCGCATCAGTTATGGTTATTAATAAGGGATGATTAAACAAGTATTATAAGATGTGAAATAATTAGAAACTTACATTGTGATTTGATTCATGCAATACATTTGAAATATTTGTTAGTTACCAGTTAGCTATCAATTATCAGCTATAAAGATACCAGATAGAAATCCTGAAAATTCGAGTTAAAAGGAAAATAATGAAATGTTATCAAAACATAGTAGAAAGCCTACAAAATAGGGCTTTTGTTTTTGTAAAGAAATATGAAACATTTTAATACTAAATGTTTTTTTTTAAAAAAGTGCCTGTGCATATTAAATTTAGGCAAAGCACTTGATGATTTTTTTCAACAGAGCAATTTACAGGTTTTCAGTTTGACCTTTTTATAGATTGATTTTAATCATAAATGGCTCCCAGATTGGCTATATAATCAGGCATTTACTTTCTATAAATGTATACAAACTAATATATTTGACGTTATAACTACATAGGCACATAAAAAATTTGGCGAGTTGATCAGGTCAGTTTCAGATTTACATATTTATAAAACGCTTATTGCCATTGTAAATTATTCAGAATAATATAATTTAAAGATATAATAATTGTATCTAGATTTACTTTTCGTAAAAGCTAATGTAAACCAATTGATTTCATGTGTCATTAAAGCAGTGATTTATTTTAAGCTATGTAAAATTGTCTTAAGGTTGACTTCAATAGCTTGTTTATAAATTTTAAATTTGTTAATTTATAAACATTTTCTACAAGTGTAAATGTCGAATAACTTTTAACTTTAGTACTTTATAACTCATTTTCTACAAATTTAAATTAAATAATAGTTTTGTTTCAGGTTATATCTCATGAATAAATTTATCAGATAAGGATAAGCTTATTTGATAGATTTATTCAATTACTTTAAACTATACGGTATGTTTGGATATCGAATACTTTAGATTTAGAGATTGGTTATGGCAAAACAATGAAGACGAAAATTCGAGGTCTGTCTTGTTTTTATGTTTCATAGGATACAATACAGATGATCTTTGCTGAACTAACTTTAAAATGTAAAATTAACTTTATTTTAATGGTGGAAATTTCCTGAAATCAATAATTGAGACATAAAAACATTAAAGTTAAATAACTCTCCAATATTTGTGAATGTTCTTTTGAAATTTTTTCAGCAAATCCGGATGTCTTTTACGACTAAAACTTCTTAAAAAAAGAATTGATTACTGCATATTTTTTCCTTTGATGCTTTTAATCAGGCTGTAAGAATTAAAAAAAAAAGATTTAAAGAAAAATCTAACTTTCCATTTATACTTTTCCAAGTCTGAGAGTTTTTCAAGCTAATTGTAAGCAACTGATACATTTTTTACTTACCATATTTTAGCATGTTTCTATACTTTTATCCAACATTTTGATCAAAAATTAATTTCATCATTTTTTAGAATTTTTATAATTTTTCCGAAATCTGTAATAATTTTAAGGATTATTTATAAAGATGTCTGATTTTACTCGAAAAATTTTCTAATAATGATATTTACAACTTTCCTTGTATATCAAAATATTCACTAAAATATAAATAAAATTAAAACTAATAAATTCAACCACACCACACAAATTTAATACAATAAAGTGTCATTTATTATTTATTTCAATATTTTTTTATATACAATTTTTTGTTATTTGCTTTTCATAGCTTTGCTTATTTTTATAATTATTAATAAAATTGTAACAAGGGCAACAAGTTTAATTAAACAAAACGTCCTGGTCTTGGATAAGGTAGCATATAATTTGATTCAAAAGTGAGCATGTGTTTTTGTAATTTCTTGGCAGGAATTAGAACAGCTGATTTTAATAAGTTAGTTTCAGAGGGAGTTTGAAAATCGCTAGGCTCGCTACTTGGTTTCTGTAACTGTTGAACTTCTTCGTCTGAAAGGTTTAGATCGTTATCTTCTGACATTCCATGAAGCAGCAGTTCTTTATTTTCATCTTCAAGGAGGCTCAGCAAAGAATTACTTGATTTGCCTACTCTCATCTGAGGAATCATAAAAGAAGAAGATGATTTACCTACTCTCATTTGAGGAATCATAAAAGAAGATGATTTACCTACTCTCGCTTGAGGAATCATAAAAGAAGATGATTTACCTACTCTCAATTGAGGAATTACTGAAGTGAAGGAGGATGCACGACCTAATCTAGGATATGGTAAAACTGAAGAGGAAGACCTTCCAAGTCTAGGATATGGAAAAACAGAGAAAGAAGACCTTCCGGGTCTTGGATATGGTAAAATATTGGACCTACCAAAACGAGCTTGGGGTAACAAAGTTTCTGATCTCCCTGGTCTAGGATACGGTAAAATATTATTTTTGCTGACTGAACGGCCATATCTTGGTAAAGGTAACATACTGTCTGAAGCAGCTTTACCAAACCTTGCATTTGGTATAAGATATTGTTTATCTGATTCTGATCGACCAGGCCTAGGATAAGGTACAAGGAAAGTGGCCACAGCTTGTTCTTTATCAGCGATATCCTCGTCAGAAACATATTCTTTGTCTTTAGTCTGTAAGTTTACATTTGGTGGTAAAGGTTTAGTACCGAAAAACCGCTTTCCAGGTCGTGGGTAAGGAATTAGAAACAATTGTGATTCTTCTGGTTGAAATAGTTCTCCTGTTAATTTATCGGTTTTTTGAGGACTTGATTTTAGAATCATGTTTACTTTTTCAATATCTTTATTTCCAATTAAGGATCTACCGAATCTGGGTTGAGGTAATATGTAGGTTTGACGTTTAACAGTTTCACCATCAGACCTACCTGGTCTCGGATAAGGTAAAATTCCTGGTTTAGTGCTTTTATCATACTTGAAATATTTCCCAATGCCATTTGAAGATCTGCCTGGTCGATAGTTAGGTAAAATATACAATGATTGCTCTGTTTTAGATAACTTATTACGCTGAGTTGAACGACCATATCTAATCTGGGGGATCATTGAGTCCGTTGTTCGCTTAACTCTTGTTGAAGTGTTTTGATTAAATTTAGATGCATCTTTCTCTGATAAATTTATATTCCGTTTACCTAACCTCGGATAAGGTATGACTGTTCCATTGCTATCTGCTTGACGTTCGGTAATTGAATCAAATTTAAATTCGTCATCACCTGGCGAAATGACTTCCTCATATGTAATTGAATTTTCCTTATCTGTTTCTTCCGATAAATATTCGGAGTCACTAAATTCTTCTTCATCGTCTAACACAGGTGTGCTAACTTCATTCATTTCATTTTGTATTTTAGGTAAATATGGCATTAACCAAGAATCGGGATATGGCATTATTAAATTTGGATCAACTTTTGATCTACCAGGTCGAGGGAATGGTATGATGGCATTTCTTTCAGATATTCTTTCTGAAGTAATTTCTGAATTTTCGTCACTCAAGTAAGGGAATTTGTTTATTGTTTCTGATTCTTTTCCATCTTCATAAGACATCGATGATAGATCAACTTCTTGCGTTGCTCTAGATTTTCTTGCCAGTAATTTTTCATTGGTTTCAAAATTTTTCTGATTAGCAGATTTATTTGGCATATTATGAATGGAGCCTTTAAGATAAGCAGATGATTGTACATTCTTAGGAACACTATCAACAGCAGAAACATCTGAAATATATTTATTTTAATTAGTTTAAATAAGATTAAAGTAATAAATAATTTAAAAATTTGTGACTGGACTCATGATGATAGGATAAATTGCTAATAAAATCAAATAAATTTCGAACATTGATGGCTATAAATATGATCTGTATAAAAAGCCCACCAAATCGCTCACATCATGAACTATAAATCTTTGACAACTATTCGAAATATGATATTACAGTCCCATGCAATTCCTGATAATAACGGCGTAGTATTTTCTCAGAGCCTCTGTCAGTATACCCTAAGTCTTATTTAAGGTATCTAACATGATTGCCTAAATCACCCTAAATGTTCTTCTCATTAACATTCACAAATAATCTTTTCGTACCAAAACAATGCTTTTCAGATTTTCTGTTAAATTTTTTCCCATAACCCTTATCATTTACGATTTATGAGAGACAACACAACACAGTTGGGCTACAGTTTAATGGATTGCATTTTTCGATTACAGTAATCATGATTAAAAGATATAGTTTTCATTACAACTGCAATCATGATTACAACAATTAACTACAGTAATCAATTACTTGTTATCGTAATTACAACAATCGCTTACAGTAATCAATTAACTTGCAATAGTGACTAGAACCTTAATCGTAATTACAATAGTCTATTACGTCAATCAATAACTTGCAATCATGATTACTACTCACCATCATTCTGTTTACAGCTGTAATCGTGATTATAATAACTGATTACAGTAATAAATTACCTGTATCTTGATTATAATTCATCTTTATTTTGATTACAACTGTAATCGTGATTCCGAATAATTGCGATTCCAAGTAAGCAAAACAAAAATGGTTACCGGTAATCATGATTACAGTAATCAAACAACTAATCACGTGTATTCGTGATCACAAGTAATTTATTACTGTAATTGATTATTATAATCATTGCAGTAGTAATCAATAATTATGCTTACTTGTAATCGCAATTACCTGTAATAGTGATTACAAGTAATTGGTTATATAGCAGTAATTATCTGTAATCAGTTACAGTTATAATCGATTACTGTAATCGTCGCTCAACTCTGCAACTCAATATGTTTCAGCTAATACACTGTAAAAAATGTCGGATCAAATTACGTTATAAAATCCTGGCTCTATGGATACTGGCTCTCGGACATCATTCAAAGAATTTGTTTTACAGTAAAATCTATTTTTACCGTGAAATATTTTACCGAAATTTTTACAGTAAAAATTTAGAGTGATTCAGTAATTTTACAGTAATTATAACTGCAAAAACTACGATATATTAGATTTTTTGTTCCGTAACATGTCCGATAAAAAAGATTTTTGCAGTAAAAGTTACTGGCACCCTGAGTGCTGGAACTTTTTACCGTAATTTGATCCGGAATTTTTAGACAGTATAGAAAATATCTGCTTTTCGAAATTCGGATACCATTTCATGACTGCAGCTGAAGCTACTTAAAATTTATTAATGTGCATCTAAACTTTTATTTGCATATTTTATAGTAAACTCTATCATAGATGTATCAAATAGAATCTACTCCTGTAGTTGTAAAACTGTAGAAGTATATGAACGTAATAGTTTAAATGCAAATAGTTTAAAAGTAAATAGTTTGAAAGCAAATTACACATTATTCAATATAGTTCTAATTTTATACTAATAAAATAATACAACATATTCTTCATGATTTATTCGCATTTTTCCTGAATTATTTTAAGCCCTTCGGAAAAAGTGAATTGAAAATTAAAATAATCAAAAATAATAAATTAAATGAAGCAAGTAGAAAGTATATAAAAGGAGGAGACATTTCAATTATTATTTAATAAAAAATACTGTTAAAATATTCTTCATAAAATGAAGGGAAAAAAACACTTTACGAAAAAGATGTTATTAAAGCGATATTTGAAAAAAATTAATTTCTAAAACGAAATTTTGTCTTAAATAATGTTATTTTATAATTTTCATCAAGACTTGCAAAAATTTATTTTAAAAGAAGTATATTCTTCTCTCATCATGCTATATACTCTTATACTATATACTGCTTATTTTTTAGAAACAATATTTTTTTTAAAAAAAGAGGAAGAATCCTCTTTTTTTTAAATTATTAAAAAACCTTTAATTCACAGAATAAAATTTATTACACATAATTTTAAAATGTTTAAGTTAATTCCATAAACTCTGCAATTGTTTAAGTAAATTCTACAAACTCTGCAATTGATCTATATATACATACCTTTTTTTAATAGTTAATTTTTTTAGATTTAAAAACAACTTTAAAATTTAGGTAAAGACAACAGTTAGTTTTTTTACAACGGTCAAAGCTACAAATATATTTAACTATCAACTATCTGAAATTATTTCAAATTTACATTCCATCTGATTTAATTATAATTTTTGATAGTAATATTTATAAAAACTATATAATTACTAATTAACTGCAAATATAAGTGCAATAAGTATGACAAAAATAATAAAATGATTTTAGCCGTCACATCTGCGGTATCTGACCCAAATAGAAAGAATACCACATCCCTTATAAGGCGGCGTTAGACCGGAATGGGTTAATATTTTATTTTAGTATTTTAAAATTTTCGAAACAAAGATGTCATACTTTCACCTTGTATTTTCAAAAGTGAAGCATGTATTTTATCTTTGACTGGCTTAAAATAATCTAACAAAGCATATTAATATTAATAAATTCACATAAAAAATAAAAATGTAGCATAAAATAAAAATTTCGATTTAATTTTTTGCTCCTAAAAATAGAAATACACTTTTTGTTTTTTTACTTAAAATTCTTCTCGTGTAAATACGATTATAATCTAGGAAATATATTTTTTATAAATACAATCATTGATTTTTGAACTTAAAATTTAAAAAAAATATGATCGTCTCAAATTTTTAAAAATATAGTTTAGACACAAGTTTTTAAATTTGATGTTAATATGTTTTTTTTTTTAATTCTATCTTACTGTATTAAGAATTATGAATTTAATTTAAAAAGCACCAAAAATATAATTAGCTTTATCGCATAATTATTATCAGATTTTTCATGTATTTTATTTTTATATATTTTAATATTATATATTTTATTTTTTTATATTTTATTTTTATTTATTTAAGTATTTTCTATTTTATTTTTATTTATATTTCCCATTTTTATTCTCAGATAAATATTATTCAAGATTTTATTACTTTGAAAATAAGAATACGTATTATAACAAACAATACTACAACTTAAAAAAACAATATTATATAAATGCAATAAATATAATCAATGCTAAAATTCATGTATCTTAATTATTTTATGCAAAAAAAATTTAAAAAAAGAAAACTACGTCAATGCATTAAATTGTCTCGATTATTGTATTAGGATAATTATCACTATAGACCGTAAACATTGCGAGTAGCTAACATGAGAACTCATAAACTATTGAATGATTTTAGAAGCACTTCTATTCATTAGTGTTTAAAGCAGTTGCCAAACTCCTCTTTACCAGAAATTCTCACTTTTTATTATCATTTAAATTGCATAACATTACATAAATAATGAATCAATACATCATTTAAGAAAAACATTTTCTTTAGTAATGCATGTATCTCAGCTATTCTTATGCACTCATATTTTCACAACATTCAAATACTAAAAAAGAATTAATGCCTTATAAGCCATCCTACAATATAAAATTAATCTAATTTTATTAATGTTTATAGTATTAATGAGATTCTTATCATGCTAATTTTCCTGTAATGAAAAAATTTTTAAAAATTTCTCCATCTGATGATCATTGATTTTTTTAAAAAGAATGTTTGTTAGTATAAAACAACAATTACCTTTAGTTATGAATAAGATGTAATTCAGCAAAACAATATATATTTGTAATTTTATGATGCATAATTACTAATAAATTATATTTCAATAAATAATTCAACAATAATTAAAACAACGAATAGCTTTAGTAATGAATAAAATATAATTTTAAATTGCACGTTTGAAATATTTCTCTAAAATAAGAACATAATAAGAACTTAAGAGCTTTTTTTTAATTCAGGGAACAGCATTTAAAACAAAAACACTTAAAATAAAACATCATTTAATATTTAATAATCTATAAAATATTACGATATTTTTGAATTTGTAATACTTCTTTAATGTCAAAACGTTTTAAGAACTCAATAATTCTAAAATACATAGCATGATTTTTTAAAGAAAAAGAAACTTATTATTTTTAAAACAATGAATAACTACATTTATATTTTAATCACTGTAAATTATAAAATTATTAAATTTGATAACTTACCGCTCATAAACTGTAAGCATAAGCAGACAACAATGTATAAGACCTCTAACTTTTTAAATCGGCCAACAGCTGCTCTTAGCTGAGCAACCATCCTTTGATTATTCTGCGTGTCCTCAGCCTTATGGATCTTGAATTCTGCAACTCCAGAATACTACAGTGAATTTGGTCTTCTTTTCTTTGCCCACGAGCTTTTATACCCAACGTTGAAAACTCTAAAGACGTTGACATATTGTAAAACTGGTCCTTACAATTATTTGATGAAAGCGTCCACGTACGATGCAGATTTACTAGTGTCAAAAAGCCTGTTGCTAATAAATACTGATTTCTGGTTCTTGGGTAAAAGGAATTTACTTCCAATCTTTCACCATCATCACCTAAGGGACCTGACATTAATGATAAACCAAGCCTATAAATAACGTAATAGATTGCGATTATTTTGTCTCAAAGTACACCTTATTTTAGCTTTATTTCTATTTTAAGAAGCCATTGATCACTTAAAGATAATCTTGCTGATGCCTCAGAACTAGAATTTAAGAGTGTAAAGTTTGGGAATATTCTACTTTCTGTTCTCTAAGTACTACTATATATAAGAAGAATTTTGGGTTCAGTTTAAGCTTAGAGCCACAAATGCTATACAATGTTTTTAGCAATACTTTTCCCAGAATTCGAATTGAAAACCTTCTTAATTTAAAAAAAAATTAACAAAAAATAACTCAAAAGGCACTGCTGTGAGTCGAGAAAAATGGTGAGAAATATTTTGTTAACTATATTTTAATGCATTTTGTCAGCAAATGCCTCATTTATGTTTTATATATTATTATATTTCTTATATTACATGTGCACTCGATATGTATTCCCTGAAATATTTCATTCAGATAACAAATGTTATATTTTTGAAACATAATGATAGCTGGAACAAGTTGACTGGAAAAGAAAAGCTTCAAAATAATATTTATAACTCCATTAGTAACAATTTTAAAAAAATTTGAAACCATTAGTAACTATTACATTTATTACACATAAAGCATCAATGTCTAGGAAATAAAGATTCAGAAATAGTAAAAGAGCAAAAAATTGTGTGGAAAATAATGTTGAATATTTTTTTTTCTACAAGTTAGTCATAAACTGGATTTTGTTCTTCATTATAAAACACACTCGTAATGCTTTTAATCTTTGCTCAACATCCCATTTCTGTGATTTCTAAACAAGCATCAAGAAAATTTTTTTAATAAATTTTAAACATTAATGAAATATTTCTAACACTTAAAATGAAGATTTCAACGTTAGTTAATGAAACCAAAAACGGAAATATATATGTTTAATGTGGTAAAAAAAATCTTTTAAGGTGGATTGAAATATTTTTATTCTTTGCCATGCTTTAAAATAATCGAATGGGTTTTTTTATGATACATAGCTTGTTCTATTTAATACATTTAGTTTTACCGCTATATGGGTAAATCTTTACTCTAGGGCTTAGCGACCATGAAATATGATATTTAGACACAAAAAATAGTAGCTAATGATAATTAGTGTAATATTTACTTTATAATATTACACTATTTTTTTATATTAGTATTAAAATAAGTTGCATCATTAAAAAAGTGCTTCATAACTCCATTGTCATCTCCCAGACAATTATATCCTTGAAATAAGGTAAATAACTTCCAACACGCATCACTAGTTGATGTACTTGAAAAGTTAACTTAATTGACAATGGCAAGCTATCGAAATAGTAAAATCTAAACGTAGTACAATCATTCACCCTGTTCTCAGTATCTTTTTTAATGAAATTTAAATAGGAATATGATGTAATCTTAAAAGCTTAATCAGCGATGCACTCTTAGAAATTTTAAAGAGTATTGATGACTACAATAGTATTCAAATCTACTGTAATCTTGAAGTAGGGCCAAGTTGAGCCACATTATTATTCAAAATGATCTGTTTTCAATTTAGTTACACGATACTATGGTACACCTTGAAACACATCCATGCATATGTTTGGTTCTTATTGGTTTTCTTTGTGCCGATTTATAACAAAATGTCAAGGGTTCTTTATTTAGTTGAGACACGCCATGTAATTATTATGGTTTATATTTATACAAAAGTTTTAGGCAAACTGCCAAAACCTCAATATATTTATGAATTGTTTGAAACACTTACAAGTATTTAGAAAAAATTTCATTATTATCAACTACTGGATATTATTAGACTTTCTACATACATTTTGCTTACGTAAGTTTTTTTTATAAAAAAATAATGCCCACGAGTGAATTTCTGCAAGTGAGTTTGTGTCTACCTGTCATTTGTTGCTTATATATTTCCCAGTTTTGTTACAAGAAGCATTAAAATACTTTCCATGAAATGGATTTTATTTTTTTTAACCTTCCAGTGTTTGTGTAAGATCATATCTGCTTTATAACTGAAATGTTTTTCTTAATCAAGTTTCTATAAAGATTTTTCAGAATATTAAATTGACACCAACTCATATCTCTTAAATATGACAATAAAAGCTTTTTTTTTTGCACTGATGCATTGATGGAATGTTCAGAGAGCTTTGAACTTAAATATAGTACAACATTGCTGCAACTTTAATATAATGTCAAGTTGAACTAAATTATAGTGCAAATGAGTTTTTGTTACGTTTTGCAATATTTAATACAACTTGAAAGCAAATAGTTTTCCTTTTTAACGCGTTCGTTGAAGTTGCAAATTCATATGTAAATTCAAATTCAAATTCATATGCATTTATATGTCAATTCATATGGGTGATATGGTTCCTATTATCATTCAATCTCACAGTTAACTGATTGTAAAAAACGGTTCTCAAACTCTGAAGTCACTCATCATTGGCTGTGGCCAGTGAGTGGGTGACCATTATTATCTTAGGAAGGATCCGAGGATAAGCGGTATCTGTCCTTGTTGAGCTGTTCTAAAGTAAAGTGCTCGACTTTGCTCTCAGGTAGTCGGGCTGCTAAAACGGAGAGTCATCCCCTCTGCAGAGGATCAAGATTGTGTTGTCATGCCTTTAGAACATTCTCAGGAATGTTTCCCAAACCATCATCAATAAACTAATGCTCAGCTCTTGCTCTCATCAATAAACTATTGCTCAGCTCTACTACCTCTACCATTCAACTCTTCAATAGCAAGATAATGTAAATCTACTGTTTAATAATGGGTGATAAAAAAAACATGTATAAAGTTATCTGAAAATGATAAGGTTTCATAAAAGAAATAAGATAAGCGGTCCTTCCTCTAAAAGTCGTGGCTGACAAATAGCATGAAATGATAAAATAGACCTTTTGTGTTTCTGTATTAGTAATATTAAAGTAAAAATTCCACACAAAAAGCCTTTTTGGAAATAAGCCAAATCACGCTATATTCTGTCTTAAATTGAAAAGCAGAAATAAAAGGTATTATTCAATATTGATTCGTTTAGATATAAATTGATTTCTATTATTAGAGTTTCTAGCTTTTATTCTTTTTATACCATTATTTATTCACCTATCTTTTTTCGAAAATTATTATTTGAAATAAATTTCTCAAAATATATCTCAACAAATACTAAATAAAGTCACCTCGATTTTTTGCCATAAATAGACTCAAAGAAAACCAATGATAGCCAAGCATATATACATATTATGAAAGTCTTTATCTAAACGCATATTTCAAAGAATTTCCACTTTCGGCTCCCGCTGGTCAACAGAAACTATCGAATAAGTAAAGAAGGAAAAAAGTGTCCTGTCGAAATAAAGCCACTTCTTATTGAAGTCGAAATATCCACCATATTTTTTATATGATTTAAAATATCTGATGTCAGTTACCAATCCCAAAAAAACAATTGCATCAATATTATGTCAGGTTTCGAAGAGGGCAGTCTTTGATTTTGTCACAGACTGAAACTGCTTCTTTTAATATATACACCGGAGAGCCATTACATTATAACCACCCTCCATCTATATCAATGGGCTCGCCCAGTTTTTCATGGTTTCTCGCCCAAGAACTATGTTTTCATAGGGCACATTAGGACCGATAGTCCTCATAGAACAATCCCTGACATCTGTAAGCTACTTGAACATAGTTGCAGACCAGGTTCAGCCATTCATGGCAGCAGTTTTTCCTGGGGGGGGGTTTACCAACAGGATAATACACCATGTCATAAGGGTCGAATCGTCGAGGAATATTCAAGTGACTTTCAAGTCATGTCTTGGCCCCCAAATTCACTTGACCTTAATCCAATAGAGCACTTGTGGTCCTACTTGGAAAACCAAATTCGTGCTGCCACGCTACCTCCTCGCAATGTGAGGGAATTGCAGGACCAGTTGGTGAGTGCTTGGTACCAGATACCTCAGACTACCTATCAGCACCTTCTGGAATCAATACCACGGCGGGTGCTAGCAGTTTTGAGGGCTGAAGGTGGTCCTACATGTTATTAGCAGGGTGGTCATAATGTAATGGCTCTTCGGTGTTTATTTCAAGTCTTTTATAAATATGATGGATATATGAGCTATAATCAAAAGTGGCTTTATTTCGTGTCCGGATGGAGCAAGAAGTGAGTTATTCTTTGTAAATATATCCTTAGATATAGAGAATTGCTAAGTAAATAAGCTTTGGATGTTTTCTTTGTGTCCAGTTATGGCAAAAAAATCAAGTTGACTTTATTTAATTGGGACTTATTGTATATAAATTAATATATGTTTTATCTATAACTAAAAACAAACGTGTGCATTTTTTCTGTCAAGATATAAGATGTCGAAGATCAGACTAGTTTTTCCGACTAATTTAATTTCTAGTTTTGTAATGATAATGGCGCTGTGTTTGTTTTTTGTGAGATTCTCCCTGTTCTCTTAAAAATGAAACAGGAAGAATGAACAGTTGTTGTGTTTTAATTAAATTTGAATCACAAATAAGCATTTTTTTTGCTTCAAGTAAAAAGAATTCGTTGTTTCATTTTCTGATTTTAAGCAAAATACTATTTAAACGAGTTAAAGTATTAACGTTAACGTTAAAAATGCTAGTAAGTAATGCATAATTATCTTTTTCTTTCTCTTTATCCCTTACATAAAAAAAAATTATGTACAAATAATGTAAATGAAATATCAATCACATTAATAATGAAAAAAACTGGTTAAACGTAGCAATTAAATTTAAAGTACTTGTTTTATTTATTTTGATTTTCTGTATACGATACGAGGTTTCTCAGACCAGTTTATAGTAATAATCTTCAAAAATTTTAGGAAGCTCAAATATTTTCAAAAGTTTTTTTTTTCTTCTCGTCAAAAGTTTTTTTTTTCTTCTTTTTTTTCTATTTTTTTTTTTAAAGAAAATTATCTTTTTTGATTTTCTTCTTGCTTTTACTTCCCCCGATATTTGTAAATTCATTCCAGTGAAATATATTAAGAAGTAAAAAATTTTTAATTCAAATTCATTTTTTTTTTCGAAATGCGTTAATGTGTCATGCCTAAAGCCGTAGTGGCTCAAGGGATAGAGAGCTTGCCTCCGAATGAGGTGAAT